CACATGTTTCAGCTCCCCCCTTGCTGTCCACACCGAAGTCCCACAATAGTTTCACAAGTGTCGGCGCCAACGAAATTTTGGCAGAGTTTCCCCTTAGCGGAAGTCACATGCAACCTCCAGAACTCCACTTAGGCACGCCCACAGGCCATGGTGGGTCTAGGAGGGTCTTCACACCTCAGTAGACTCTTCACAAAGTCCTTAACCAGCTCTGATACCGCTTTTTAGAGACTAAGGACGGAGTCTATGAAGATTAAGGGCCGAAATATCTCAGAATCGTCGACTATAATTCTGGACGGAAACATCGACGTCACAAGAAACGTTGTCGACAAAAAACGCTCTGTTAGAATTCTCTCAAACTCGAGTATGTTGTAGCCCTTGACCGTGGCTATCTTTCACAATTTGATTAGTATCAAAATATGGATTATAGCTTGAGTTATGGATTTCGGCGCACTAGAGGGTATGCTGCCATAGAAAACTTAACTCAATCACAAAGTTGTCTCACAAGTACACACAAGAAAGTTGAAGTAGCAATTGAACCAGGTAGGAGGGGATGACGAGGACGAGAGGGAAGGTCCTAAGGGAGTCCCCAACCAAGGAAACCCCATACCACACATTTCCCCTCTCTATAGGCACCCCAACTTTGACATTTGTTATTTTCCCAACTCATGCCATCCACCTCACCCAACTTGGCCACACTTGCCAACATGGTTTGGCTTCTCCCAACCACTTGGCATCATCTACAGTGATGGTGACGGATTTCCCAACCCCCAAAAGTCTCTACCCCATATTGAGTCAACCCGCAAATTCCCATAGTTGTTGCATCTCAATCAAAACTTCGAAGGATCATATCTTTCTCGTTCTTGCTCCGATCGCGGCGATTCTTGGTTCGTCAGAAAGCTCTCAAGCAGTGGAGTCACTTCAGATATCTGCTCAAGGCAAATAACACTCACACGCACTCAAAAAATCAAACCACACCAAACACATATTCTTGCAAACACCACGCATGCAACGCACGAACACATGATGGGAGGCAGACAGACGTGAATGCAAATGATAGCATCACATAACAGCAAGAGCCTTCAGTTTTTCTTCAATGGTGAGACCCGAGCTCCCAGCAGTCACTTCCGCTTCTGACGGGAGGTTGTTGATGACATCTGATCGCTTGCTTGGTGTTGTTTTGCTCGCAGGATCAGAGCTGCCTGTCTGAATGTTATGTTTTGTCTAGCCTGCAGTGGGGTACTCAATAGTGAGTACAGCCCAATTTAGGGTTTGCTATATGTACTCAACTGCTTGCTAGTGAAACCCCTCTTTCTCGTTTCCAACTTCCTGCTGTTTATTAACATGGAATCAGAGCAGGTCGACCCTCACGGGTCGATCCTGTGGATGGGCCCACCCAATGCTTCTGCTGCTTCTACTCTGTCCATCGCGCGCCCGAGGCGCGCACTGCCTGCTTGCCGCGCGCCCGTGGCGCGCGGCAATTTTTCTTCCCGCCGCGCGCTTCGAGCGCGCGGCGGTTTTCTGCCTGCTTGCCTGTCGTGCGCCCCGCTGGCGCGCGACGGAGCCCTGCTCGTCGTGCGCCCCGTCGTGCGCGACGGTGCAAAGCCCGTCGTGCGCCCCGTGGCGCGCGACGGTGCACAGCCCGTCGTGCGCCCCGAGACGCGCGGCGGGTTTCGTCGCCTGTCGCGGCGACCTGGGGGGCCTGTTGCGGCCCCGTCCCGGACCTGCCCCGGCCCCGACTCTGCCCCGGCCCTGCTCCTGCACTGTCGCAGCCCGGCCCCGACCCTGCCCCGGCTCTGCCCCGGCCCAATTCTCGTCGCCCGTCGCGGCGCCCTGGGGGGGGCCACGCGTCGGCCCCTCCTGTCTTCGTCGCGGCCCTGCCCCCCCCCCGTACCCTCCCTTCCCGCCTTCTACGGCCCTACCCTGTGTTAGGGTTTGGGGGTGGCGAGTGGGGGGTGGCGGGTGTGTGGCATCACCTGCTCCTCCTCCTCCTCCGTCTCCCACTGCTGCAGTTGTCGCTGAGGGGGGTGGATGTGTGGGAGACAATGGAGTGGTGCTAGGGGGTGGAGTGTGAGCAGTGTTAGAGGTGTAGCAGGGGGTGTGTGAAAGGGGGGTGGGACAGTTTGGGGGAGGTTGAAGGGAGGTAGCTGTCGTGTCGCTAGCAGCGCTAGTAGTCCGGAGGCTACAATCTCCGGTAGCTCAGCGAGTAAGTAGTCCGGAGGCTACAATCTCCGGTCGCCAGCTGCGCCAGTCGCCCGTGGGTCCGTTGCTCCTGCAGCTCAGAGTTAGTCGCGGAGCCAGTTACTCCAGTAGTCCGGAGGCTACAATCTCCGGTAGCCACAGTGCGTGCCGCTCCTGTTGCCCGTGTGTCTGCAGCTTCAGCCGTTGCCTCCTCTCTCCTTTCCTATCAGTCTAGCCTCCTCCTCCTCACTTGCCCTCTGTGACTGCCTCTAGCTTTGCTTATATTTGTGAACTATAAACTGCTGCTGCTTGTACTTGTGCTCAGAATATGTGGTGACATTGTGATCCACCCTGAGCTTGTTTTGCTTTTCTTGTTGTGCTGATTACACCCCACTTTGGCTATGGGGGTGTGTCAGAATGTTATGTTTTGTCTAGCCTGCAGTGGGGTACTCAATAGTGAGTACAGCCCAATTTAGGGTTTGCTATATGTACTCAACTGCTTGCTAGTGAAACCCCTCTTTCTCATTTCCAACTTCCTGCTGTTTATTAACACTGCCAGCAGGGTTATCCGGGACAACCTCGATCACCGGCTTGACTCGGGAGTTTTTAGAAGGCATTGTGCAATGATAACAAGTGACCGGCTGAAATGCTGATTAGCAAAGCTGAGGAAGAAGCCCTCAGATATCAGGCTTTTTACCTTGATTTGACTGATTTTCAGCCTTTTTTCTGTACCAACCCTGAACTTTCAGCCTTTTTTATTTTGTAACCCTGAAATTTCAGCCTTTTTTTATCGAAGGGGACTGATTTTTCAGCCTTTGATCGAACGTGTACACTAAATGCAGATTCCGCGTCCTTCCTATAAAACACCCGAGATCATCGAGACTCCAACATTTTTGCATCACAGGAGTATAAATGACGAAAACATGCGTTCGACAGCATACACTGTTCCAGTCGTTATCGTAATCACTGCCGAAATGGAAAGGCCCCGGTTCGATTTGTGCCGTCTTAACTAGTTGGGCGTGCACTCGCTTGTAACTAGAGATGTGAATAATAAGAAATCAGGTTTTTTTTTTAGGAACCCTGAAATTTCAGGCTTTTTTTGTAGGAACACTGACAATCAGCCTTTTTTTTCACAGGGACCCTGATGCGTCAGGGTCTCCAAAAGTGAATCTGAGGGCCTGCTGAGGAAAACAATGAGCCGGAAGTCTGAGCACGACACTTTTAAGTAGTGACAATGCGATAGCCGTAGCCCATTGCTCCAGACATAGATGATGCAATACCGATTATGAGACCTCTGGGTCAAATTGCAGTGCTGGACCAGTATCTGCATGTCCAATCGGAAAACGCTTAGTTGTTAGCCAATTGGCAGCGCATATCCCTGGGAACCACGCGTTAGCCTTGGGCTTAGGTTGCTTTGCCAGCGATGAACACCCATGAGAGGTTAATAAAATGTTTGTCTGATGAACACATAAAGTATATGATCCTCTTCGTCGTGCTGTAACGAGTACAATGCCGGCGAGATTAAAGCCAAATGATAATATGGCTTCACGCAATGTGAGTTCCAGGCTGGCATCAGGCAGCCATGGCGGCGAGCTCGAGGTTGTCATGGTTGTACTGAATTAGCTGAATTGCATATTGAATACTGATTTATATGCTTTGCTACATTGAAGATCTATATAATCAATGGACGTGCCCTATAATGGGCAGCTAATATGGTCGATTCGAGAAAGATGCTTGGGGCGATAGGCAGGCAAGCAACTTGGCAGGTGTTCCACTTGTCCAACAGCTGCGACAGGCGGTTCGGCAATGAGCAGACCCACGCGCAAACATCTGGGTCTGACATGACATGGTGCCAGCCAGCCAACAGAGGAGCTGGATTCCCACCTGAAAATCACTGTATGGACGAGGTGTGAACTAGGTACTGTACTGTACAGTTCATTGTGTCGTAGAAAGGTCTCCTTGCGCGGTGGGGAGTGCTAGATGCATCAAAAGTACTGAACCTACGAAACCCCGGACATCAAAATCTGTTCAAAAGTTCTGTAACCAACACTCTCAAAATACAGTGCTCGAAATGCGTCCCCTCTCAGTGGTGGTTGCTTGCGCTTCGCATCTCACATTTCACGAACACCGACTTGCACCTATCAGCCCGTCCAGACAACGTGCATAGCAGTATCGTTTCGAATTGGAGGTGGAATGGCGAGGTGATTCGCAACATATGCTGTCGTGTAGTATCCCACTGACTGTGCTGATCCCAACCCTTAACCAGGCCAAACCAGCTAAAACCGACTCTAAATCCGCTCTCTGCACTTAGCACGGCACCATTCCACCTGAAGGGACAGCTACCTCGCTAGTTCACAACCAAGGACTTATCAGGAGGACGACACAAGCAAAACGACACTGAAGCAGACAGTACAGTAGTAGACTGCCTTACCTTGTAGACCACAGCAGCTGCCTAACGACCTAGGGCGTAAGTGAGCCGCGAATAGGTAGTACAGTGAAGCAGTCCTGGTTGCCAAGAAGGAACGAGAAACGAAGAATCCTATCGGTTCTCCGGGTGGAGTGGAGATTAACAAGCGAGACGTCGAAATGGTTGTTTCACAGAAAGAGCACGAGCAGACGGCACGAGTTGCGCGGATGCGGCAAAGGAGATTAACTCCGCTACTAGTTTGGTCGCTCGGCGCGCTGCTCCTCGCGTCGCTTGCACTTCCACTCACACAGGTAAAGCCGAGGAGTCTCCAGCCATTCGCACATATCCGTGCCTTTTAATCCCTATTTTTCTTCACAGGAAAGACGTCGAATAGCCCCCAACCGTTAGCGCAGCTATGGGTGCTACTATTCCGCGTTTTGTTTGTTACTTACGGAGGTAACGCCGAGCGGTATGAATGCCATCCAAGCCATCTTTGTGGAGATTCACCCTAATACTGCTGCGCTGCACCGCTAGTAGGCCCATTTTCGTGGCTGCTCCTCTATTTTGTTTGCACAAGTGGGTGGAATCCCGACGCTCAGAGACCGCGCAATTCGTCAGCTGCTTAGCGAGGTGGTAACCCCATCGCAAGCTCAGTCGTCGCTAGCTTCGTCGCAAACAACATCCCGTCCTCCCCCCCGCTATTGAAACCGTCACGCAAAGCTCTTTCCGCCTTGCATCCCACAGCTAAAGGCCAGACCGCGCAGACCTTCTCATAGCAGGTCGCCAGGTCGCGGTTACGACTTCCGTTGCACCTCAAAAGCCGTACATCCCATACGTTCTCATTGCAGGTCGCCTGGTCACGGTACGCCAAGGAGAGAATCCGGCGCTGCCCTTCTCTCTTAACCTCGAGGGTAGCGTCTTCGTGCCATACTGTTGCAAGCCTCAGACGCGGCGTTTTTCAGCTTCGCGGCTTCTCCCTCCTCCCCTCCGCTTCCCGCGGCCTCTGCTCCACGCACGTTCGACCAGCCTTCCCCCCTCCCTTCCCCGCTCCCAACCCTTTCCTCCCAACACCCTCTTTCCACACTTCCCCTCCCTCTCCCTCCCCCACCTTCTCTTATCTTCCCCCTTGCAGGCCGCCGTTTCCGCCGCAACGTCCGTGAAACCAACCGGTGTCGGCACGACCACCGGTGGCACAACCGGCGCCGTCGCAGCCGGCGGTAGCGGCGCCGGCGGGGACGGCGGCGATGCGGGGGATGACGTCATCAGCGGAAGCTACACCCCGCCGCCCAAGTGCCCCGCGGGGGATGCGGCGTGCGCAGGGGGGGCGGGGGCGGCGGCGGACCCCGACTCGCCGCCGGCCGTGGCGGAGTGCCCCAAGGGGGAACGACGGTGCTCCAACGGAGCGTGCGTTAAGGTGTGATTCGTTACCATCGTTAAGGAGTTGTTTGCTGTAACTCTCGCTGCCGTGTGAGGTGCAGACGACGGTTGACACCACGGCGTGTCGATTTTTGCTTGTGTGCTTTCGAGCGCACAAAATCAATCGCTTTGGTAAAGAGCGGAGCGACGCCGTCTGTCATCCGCGCTGCCATCCGTTCACGCACTCCCCCATTTTCTTCCCCCTTCTCTTGCCTCCGTCACGGCAGCGACGCAGCGAGCGCGTGCCTCCCCCTTTTTCTTCCCTCTTCCTTTCATATCGGCATGCTCTGCACGCTCTCCCTGCAGTGCACATCCAACCACTTCAGCTGTCGCGACAGCAGCGGGTGCCGCCTCTCTCCCTTACCCCCTCCTTGTCCTCCGCCCCTCCCTTCCGCCCTCGCCCCCACTCCATTTCCTTCCTCCTCCGCAGATCGGCATGCTCTGCACGCTCTCCCTGCAGTGCACGGCGGGGCAGTTCCGCTGCCACGACAGCAGCGGGTGCGTGCCGGACGAGGCGGTGTGCGATGGGCAGGAGGACTGCAACGACGGGTCGGACGAGTCAGGCGACGACTGCGAGCTGATTAGCGGGTGCCTGGCGCAGGGGCTGGTGAGTGGGGAGATGGCTTGAGTCGAGGCTGGGCAGAGGCTAACCAGAGCAGAGGCTAGTGGGTGGGTTAGACGAGGCGGTGTGTGACGGGCAGGAGGATTGCTACGACGGGTCTGACGAGTCAGGCGACGACTGCGAGCTCATCAGCGGGTGCCTGGCACAGGGGCTGGTGAGTGGAGGCTGGTTTGAGCAGGGGGTGGTGATTGGGGTGAGTTGGTCTGGTGAGTGGGGCTGGTGATTTGGCCCTCTTTCTCCTATTATTGGTGCTTTGCTCATCGCCTCTTTCCCCTCTCTTTCTTCAGCTTCCATCCAATATATTTTTCGCCCCCGCACTTCCCCCACCTTGTTGCCCTTCCTCGTTCTCCGATTTCCTCTGCCCCTCGCCAGGCCTCCTACCCTGCAGACGTGCAGTGCATTTCCCTTCGGAAGTTCTGCTACGGAGTGAATGACTGCAAGAGCGGGTCGAAGGAGGGTTCTTTGTGCCTGCTTTCCTCATCTCCCCCACGACACACTCCATTCCCTTGTCCCTCCCTGTTCCCGCCCCTTGCCAGGCTGCCTGCCCCGCAGACTCGCAGTGCATTTCCCTTCGGAAGTTCTGCGACGGAGTCAATGACTGCAAGAGCGGGTCGGAGGAGGGCGAGGACTTCTGCTCCACTTACAGGTGTCCACGTGGCACCTTCAAGTGCCCCTCCTCGCCACTCATCTGCCGCCCAGGCGCCATGTGCGACGGCAAGAACCACTGCCCTGTAACGAATCCCGACCTGCCTTATACGGAGGATGAAGACCCAGCGATGTGCAGCAGCTTCACCCGACCTATAGGTGCGAATTCTATGGATTTTACTTTTGAGTCGACTCAAAAACCCGACCTATAGGTGCGAATGCTATGGATTTTTGCTTTTGAGTCAACTCAAAAACCCGACCTATAGGTGCGAATGCTATGGATTTTTGTTCTGTTCTTGTAAATTCCAACAAGCCGGGGAAGGCTGTGGTGACAGCAGTCGACTCACTCAACCCCCACCAGCGGCGCCACCATCACCCGCGTCGGGGAAGGTCCTCTGGGCCCCGAAAGGCTTCGAGTCAACTCTAAACAGCCCCTCCTTCCCTCTCCCCTCCCCTTCCCCCTACTCGTGCATGCGTGGTGTACCTGTGCAGACCCCCGCACAGGCCTTCCCACCAGCGGTGCCACCATCACCCGCGTGGGGGATGGTCCCCTGGGCCCTGGCCAGAGAGGCACGAGGGGAGGGACTGGCGGAGGGAGTGGTGGAGGGAGTGGTGGTGGGAAGGGTGGTGGGAAAGGTGGGAAGGGTGGGAAGGGCGGAGGGAAGGGTAGTGGTGGTGGGAAGGGGAAGGGTAGTGGTGGTGGGAAGGGGAAGGGGAGTGATGGTGGGAAGGGAAAGGGGAGTGGAGGAAGTGGGGATAATGCAGGGAGTGGAAAGGGGAGCCAGGTGGATGCATCAGGGGAGGTGAAGAAGCAGGCAGAAAATGTGAAAGCAGCAGCTGACAAGGTCAAGCAAAAAGTGAAACCAACAGGAATCGTTGTGCCTAAGCGTGGGGGCGGAAATTAAGTTGGATGAGAGGGTGCATGTTGAAGGAAAAGAAAGGCTCGTCTTTTGTTGTGTGTACTAGCTGTTCTCTGGACTAGGTGGATGAATGTTCATGTTGGATGGAAATATTTGGGTTGTAACATTAACATAATTCTATTTGTTGTATGGTCCAGTTGTGCTGCCCTGCACTGATTCTGCCATTGTATGCTGGCCTACTCCCTAAATTGCTTATATCACCCTACACCTCATCCGTGGGACCTGGCCCAATCAGGCCTCAGCAGCTGAGGGATCACCTGCGAATCGAACTTGACGTTACGTTCCTACTGCCTTGCTCTGTTCGTCTCTACTGTATCGCATTCGCATGTCTCCCTTCCCTAAACCCCCATGTCGATTCGAGTCGTGTCACATCGCGACGCATTGCAGTGACACCCACCAACCGACAATCCATTCTGCACACACAACACCCTCACACAACATGCAGACGGACAGATACTTCGTCAGCGGGTCGCAGGCATAAGAGCAGGTTGTGTAATCCGATTCGGTGCGGTGTGTTTTGATACGGTATAGTCTGTTTCAACTGCCGAACTTTGGTCTAGATTCTAATCTTGTTGACCCCAGTCGCACATCCGTCATACAGTCGTCGTCCACTTTGTCGTTCAATGTCAGGTGTAATGTCGCAACCGCAAACCCATCGCAGAGCACACCACCATACAAAATGGTCTGCTTTCCGCTACACCTGAACCCATCCGCAGGATGATGCGAATCGACACTCTATTGCTAGAAGCTAACTAGAGCGGCACGGGAGGCGTTACGTCATAGGGATCGAGGAGTTTATGTGTGATTGTAGCGCGCGGGGCTTTAACGGGGTTTCGCCCAGGCTTCGAGATAGAACCTTCGTCCGCAAGTCAGTTAATTAACTAGCGCGCTATGACGATGCGTCCCGACCAGCATTTTCGCGAGTCGTGATGAGTTTCACTCGCCCATCGGCATCTACAGCAGCCGTGGGTCGAAGGCACCCGGGTTGTGAAACGTCGCAGACCGTGTGACCAATTTCTGTGACACTTTCGCGAATATGTTACTCTGATCAGATTTCGTTCACAAAATTTCCTTACCAAATGGTTTTCCTAGCTGTCACGGTTCCAGGAGATGCGCGCCTCGACGACAAAGCAGGCGACGACAGAGCAAGGGACGAGAGGGCAGGAAATTCGTGCTGTTCGCATTGTCAAGGCGGCTCGACACGCCGCTGTTGCCCAGAGCGCACTTGCCGCTGTTGTCCAGGGGGTACGACTCATTCTTCGCTATGGGCCCTGAATTGCCGTGAACTTTCGCGAAGAAGGGACTGCGGTGATTGCGTTGGCCTTCAGTATAGTAACCCCCTCTATAGTGACTACAACGAGCGTTGCTACACCCCCTCGACAGCTGTAGATGACGGCCTTTGCCGAGCCGACCCTGTGACAGTTGGGGATGTGACACTATCGTGCGTTTGGGAACCGCTTTCCAGCAGGAACAAACGGTTCAGACGTTTCAGACGGCTGGGACGGCTACAATCGCAGCAGTCGCAGCCGCTACAGCCGCAGCACTCGCAGCCGCAGCCTTCCCTCTCGAGAGAATTGCTCTCCTTCCGAATTACAGTCTCTCCGCGTCATCCGCCGCATTCCACGCTCGGCTTCCTCGCGCATCCCATCCGCGCACTCCTCGTCTTCCTGCTTCTCCTCTCCGCACCCTTCCCCTCGCTCCCCTCCCCTTTCCCCTCCGCCCCCCCATTCTCCGCCTCCCCCTTCTCCGCCTTCCCCTTCTCCGCCTTCTCCCCCGCCATCCTCGTGGCGTGGGCGCAAGAGGACCTCCCCTCGATCATCACCGCGCCCCCGCCGTGCCCGCGCGGGCAGCGGCGGTGCTACGGCGCGCGGATTGCGGTCACGGGCGCGGACGGGGCGCGCATAACGGCCTTGCGTACAACATCGAGCAGCGGCAGCGGCGCTAGCAGCAGCAGCAGCAGCAGCAGCAGCAGCAGCAGCAGCAGCAGCACCGCCACAAGCAGCAGTAGCGTCGGCAGCAGCAGTAGCAAGATTAGCAGCAGAAGCAGCAGCAGCAGCAGCAGCACCAGTGAAAGTGACAATAGCGAGGGGACGGGAGGCACGTGCGTGGATGTGGGTTCCACGTGTCCCGCGCCCTGCATGGCGGGGCAGACGGCGTGCGCGGATGGCAGCGCGTGCTTTAGCACGTGGATGACGTGTGACGGCCACGTGGACTGCGCTGACGGGTCGGACGAGAGCGACGTGGCGTGTGCGGGGAAGACGCCACTGCAGGATGGGGCGGGGGAGGAAGTGGGGGAGGCGGAGGGAGCAGGGGAGGTCGAGGGGGAGGGGGAGGGGGGAGCAGAGGAGACAAGTTAATAGTGATGGAAACCTCTCAGAAACACAGAACGAGCCGGCAACCTGCCCGCCTGGTTTCATCTCCTGCCCCTCCTCCCCCTTCTCCTCCCCCTCCTCCTCCTCATCCGCTTTCTCCTGCGTGAAGGGTGCTCTCTGTGATGGTATCAACGACTGTCCCGTGGAAACAGATCCCTTAGCTTCCTCCTCCGCCCTCTCCTCCTCTTCCGCTGCCTCCCCCATGCTTCCCTATTCCATCGACGAACACCCCCTCTTCTGCAGCTTTTTCACCTGCCCGCAGGGCTACCGGAAATGTTTGAATGGGTACGTTTGCGTGAGCGAGAAGCTGTGGTGCGACGGTGTGAACGACTGCCCGAGTGTAGACCTGGTGACCGGAAAAGATATGTCGGTTAGAGAAGCGGCCAAGGCAATGACAGCAGTGCTAGAAGCAGCCGCAGCCGCAAGAACAGCGGGTTTTGCTGCCGGCAGTGTTTCGACTGCTTCTAACGGAGCAGCTTATAAAGGAGCTGCGCCTGCGGCTTATACGGAGGATGAAAACCCGTCCATGTGCGCAAAGCACGTGTGCGCTGAGGGCACGGTGCGGTGCGCAGTGAACAGTAAATGCTTGGATGCCACCCGGTGGTGCGACGGCATCATCGACTGCCCTGTTACCAAAAAAGGAAACGTTACCATAAAAGCTGGCCCGAGCAGCAGCAGCAGCAGCAGTGGGAAGGGGAGTGCGGTGGCTGCAGTGGTAAACGGAGAGGATGAGGATCCGGGTGTGTGTGCTAGCTGGAGTTGTCCTGATTGGGGCAGGAAGTGCAGCAACGGAGTGCAGTGTGTGGCTCGTGAGCACTGGTGTGATGGCGTCTCTGACTGCCTTCCAGCCCCCTCCTCCTCCCCACCATCCCTGCCACCACCAGCAGCAGCAGCAGCAGAGCCAGCGCCATCAGCATCATCATCGCCGGATTCACCAGAGGCATTCAACGATGAGGATCGCGCCATGTGTGCGGCGCTGGTGTGCCCCGAGGGCCAGCGCCGGTGCCGCAACGGCTGGCAGTGCCTGGCGGAGCGCCAGTGGTGCGACGGCAGCAGCGACTGCATCCACCCTGACAGCGCGAGCAACAGCAGCAGCAGCAGCAGCAGCAGCGGCGGCGGCAGCAGCGGCAGCAGCAGCGACAGGAGTACATCTGGTGACAAGCAACAGCTTGTTCCAGGGGACGAGGACCCGGTGTTCTGCCGCTCCTTCCGCTGCCCCGCAGGCATGGGCAAGTGCCGCACCGGGCTGCAGTGCGTGCCGCTGATTCAGGGGGGTGGAATCGACGCGTCCAAGTGTCAAGGTGGGTTGTGTGTGGGCAAAGGTTTTTTGTTGCTTCCACTGCCCCTCAGGCATGGGCAAGTGCCGCACCGGGCTGCAGTGCGTGCCGCTGATACAGGGGAGGGGGGATTGACGCCTCCAAGTGCCAAGGTACGGTTGAATCACCTATATGTGTTTGATCATGCTGTGAATGTTCCGGTGGTGGTTTATTTAGTTATCAAACACACGCTGCTGCTGAAGTCTGAGCGTGTCCCCATGCTGCCCTCATTTCCATTTCCATTTCCCTACCTTCCTCTCATTCTCGCCTCTCCCTCCTCTCTCCTCCCCTCCCCTCTCCTCCCCTTCCCTCTCCTCCCCTCCCCTCTCCTCCCCTCCCCTCTCCTCCCCTTCTGACTCCTCCCCTCCCCTCTCACAGGTGCTGGGGCTGACAGTGTTGACCCACAGGATGCGGGCAGCAACAGCGACTCGCCATTAGACCCTGGAAATGGGGCTGCTGACCCAGGCAGCCAGGACACGGGCAGCACAAAAAAAGGCAAAGGGAAGGGGAAAGGGAAAGGCGGTGGTGGTGCAAAAGATGGGGCAGGCGGGGGAGGGGGAGGAGGGGGAGGGGGAGGGGGAGGGGGAGGGGAAGGGAAGAGTCGTGGCGGAGCTCTAAATAAGGCTGCAGACGCTGTTGTGAAAGGACTCAAGGGCTTGGGAGGGTCGGGCAAAGGCAAGAAGGGGAAAGGCAAGGGGAAAAAGGGATGAGACGAGTAGTGAAGGGATAGGGAGAGGAAAAGAAGAGGCCAGGGAACCGCAGTTGACAAGAGAGTGCTTGAGGGTTTTTTGTGGTTGGTTCCAAGGAAAAGGCTGCAGAGAGGTTTTGAGGGTGGAGGCTGGAGGATGGAGGGGCGGTGGTGAAGAGTGATGGTGGAGGGGCGATGGTGGTGGAGGGAGATAAAGAGTACATGGTGTTTGGTTGCAAGGAGGAGTCCTTCCAACTTTCCAAGTTTATCTCCCAACCACCGCGTGTGCTGCTGGAGTTTTAGAATGAGTGCCACACAATTACCGTATGCAGGATTCTGTCCCTCAGTGCGCCTGCCTATTGTTTTGTTATTTCGTTCATTATTTCATTTCTTGCATTCAGGAATCTCTGCACGCGTTTCAGTCCATTATCGCACTGTGTCATGCAGTCACCGTATGGTATGGATGGGGTCTCAAGATAAACCTTATTTTCACATTTTTTACAATTCATATCACCGTCTCTTGCTCCTTCAAGTGTTCAGCGGGGGATAAGTGTTCGTGTGATAGGATTCAGTCTGGTGCGCAACGGTCAAAAGGGTTGGAAGACATAAACGGCCGTTGCTCAACGCTTTGTAACGTATTGAACCCTGCTAGACGAACACTTCTGTAAATTGCCTGTGTTCTGCTCATCTCGCTGTGTAACAGAAAAAGTCGTCATCTGCTGAGATTTCCTACGCCTGTTTCAGCAAATTCCTGGCGAGAGAACGATTCTCAAACGAACTTCGTCGACATCCATTGCTTGGGCAGACGTTTGTTCGCAACGTCTAATAACGTGACACATGGCCGAAAAAGCCTCCCACTTCTTCTTCTGTCGGTCTTTCGTTGACGAATAAAACATATTGTAACCCTTTCAGAACTTTCAGTTCTGACCAATCCGAAGCTGCTGCTGTGTTTAGACCAATCCAATGCTGCTGGTGTGCTGCCGCTGATCCTCGTCAGCATTTCACCTCTCCAGCTGTCCCTCCCTCCCTGGTCTGGTGTGGTCACCTTTCTTCCCCACAACCTCCAATTCTCCCTGATTTCTCCACTGAAGCAAGCTGAAATCTGAGAAGCCATAGATATTGCCACTCAGATTACTTCTGCTGCGGGCTGGTCTTGCGTGTCCATTCTGCTTCAGTCAAGCGTTTAGCAGGCTTTTGATAACAGCGTTGCGTTCTTGTCATCAAGCGCGAAGCTGCTCGAATTCCCCGCAAGAGCCATCTCTCCAGGTGGGTCTGGCGAAACTCGGTTTTGAGAATTTTAGAGAACGAATCGCACATTAAGCGAAGCTGCTCATATTAACCTCTAACCATCTCTCGAGGTGGGTTGGTGCTCCGACATTCTTGTAAGATTTACGTTTTGGAACTCGGACTTGTCATCGACGCTCGTGGGCTTCGTATCGCTCCCAAGTCCACCTGAGTACGGCATTAGACAAGAGCAGCGACTTACATTGCTGCATTTTGTACAGATGCCAGCTGTCGAGGTCTGAAACTTAACGAGAAGCTGGAAACTCTTGAGCGGTGACTTCGATATTTCGTGTTCGCCGTTTACCCGTAGCGAATGAGAGAAAGGAAAGGACTTAACTCTGGACCCGGCCATAAGCTGGTGTATATCCTTGGTTCGCTTCCCTCCATCACTGTGTCACATGGGACCACATTCTGTTACATCAATCCAGCCTTGGGGATGTTACGAACATATCCTACGGAAAATGCGGAAATTCAATGCAACATTGCATCTTGTCTCCGTCTTCCTCCTCGCAGGCTGCCAACGAAGCTCGACCGAAGCTAGATCTCAGTCCAAGCGAACTCAAACTCCCCCAAGCCTACCATGGTACGCTTTTGCTTCGTTCCGGATTCCAAAACTTCCAGCCTCTCTCATTATTTCACGACCAGTCAGCCGCGCCTCTCTTTGTTTCGCGACCAATCAGCCGCGCCTCTCGGCCCAGCCGCAACGCGTGCATCTCGTTTTTAGGAGCCTCAAAAGTGGAATCCCACGGGTGTTCTAAAAACTGCAGCCACTCTGACACCTTGTCCCGGACTGGTCTTATTCTCATGTTTCCTCTTCCTTTTTTCGGATCCTCTCTCTGTTCCTTTCCTTCCTCTGCTTGCAGGCCGCCACTGCGACTGCGACCAAGTCGCTCATCAGCGAATCCGCTGCATGGAGCGGCCTCAAGGTACAAATTGTTTTGAGTCGACAGTCACCTTTTTCTGAGTTGACTCATAGCACATTTTGTTCGGAGACTACTCACATTACACATGGAGCGGCCTCAAGGTGCAAATTTTAAGGTTCCTCACAAATTATTGGTTGCAACATTGGCTCACCCCATGGCTCAAGCTCCTGTTTCTCACCTCAAGGCTCAAATTCCTGTCCCCCCTTCAAGGCTCAAGGACCTATAACATATGAATGAGCTCATTCTTAGATTCTGAAATGCAGATGAAGATCCACATTTCCCTCACACAATCTGACAATTGTCATTTTTGCGCTTTTCAGAATATCCCTGTGACTCGCGCTGCTGCTTCGCGGAAACTTGTCGTTCGTTCTCCTGCCAAATCATCAGTTTCCGTTCGAGGTACGTGCTTACATAAAGGTTTTTTTTTTTCAAACAAGCTGATTCTGTATTCCATTCTCTGTATCTGGTCCGTTGCATTCCTAGTGTCATCTGGTACCTTTTGAGTCAACCAAAGAATATCACTCTTCGGAAGCCATCTCACAACCATTCTTCTTTGCCTCAATCCCATGTCCCCGCAGCTGCTGCAGCTGGCCCCACGCATTTCCTCCATATTGACGACTTCGATAAGGATTCTATCCTCCACATCCTCAACCGCGCCAAAGAAGTGAAAGCGATCATCAAGTCTGGCGACCGCTCCTACCAGCCCCTTAAGGTCAGTCAACTATAGAGTTGCACTCCAGAAACTTTTGAGGCACCTTAAAGGAGGCCAAGGTGCGATTGAAAGCTCCTACCAGCCCCTCAAGGTCAGCCAGTTCACTATAAAGTTGCACTCCAGAAACTTTTAAGCCGCCTCAGAGTCCTAAGCACAAGGTCAGTTGACTACAGAGCTGCAGGGCGTGTTTGGTTGTTAATAGTAGAACCCTGAAACATAGGTGACTTTTGGTCAACTTAGGGCGTGTGATTTTTTTTTGGGTTCGTATATTTGGTCGAACTTTAGGTGGTAACCAGTTTCGCCAATGTTCGCAGGAAATTTCGCCAATGTTGACTCTGATTTCAGAAGTATCAGGTGCGAACCTACAAAAGTGAACAAGATTCGAATATATGCACAAACTTTGTGTAGCACAGTGAACCGAACGTGTGTGGTTTCAGGCACGTACGAGGAACCAGCGAAGCTCGCGAATCTTTCGTGCACCAATGGAGGCACATCCGAGACCCATAGCAGAGTCCCCCGCGCAAAGCCCACCACGTGGCATGCGTCGGTATTTGGAGACCTGGCCGAGCACTCCGATATTTGTAGCATGCTCAACTGTCCCTTGAGCAATGTCGAGGTGGAGGTCTAGCGTTCACTTTTTTTAGCAGCGATTCGTTGACGTGTCGCGCTGTCAATAGACGAATACCGGGTAACCTACGCACCCTGCAGGCGGCTCGGTTTCCCCCCTGTAATCTCGAACCTGCAAATTCGCACTTTCGTGTGTGATTGTGAATCTACAAGCATTGTCACCTGCGGTTCGAACATTGCCAATGCTCAAAGTAGAGTCATGTTCAGCTTGTGTTCAAATGCTTAAATAGAGTCAAAAACATAAACTTATGGCAAAATAAAAAATCACACACGCCCTTAGAATGCATTCTCGATCAAGCCTGTCAGCAAGGAAAAGAACGCAGTCAATTAGTCCCGAGATCACTCTACTCCATTATACCTCTCAACCTCATTCATCCTAAGAGGGAAATTATATATGTACACAATCACATGCGCATAGTGGAAATCACATGTCTTCAAAGTCCTGTAAGTGTTTATTATGTGAAGGCCAACCCTTGTCCCCTTTGCCCCCCCATTCGCCAAGTTCAGCCGCTCGACTCGTCCTCCTCAACATCCATTTCCCCCTCCCCCGTCCTCCTGACTTGCCACTCCATACACGCGTGACATCATGTCATAAACCTTTTTCCCCTTCCCGCCCACCCCCAGGGTCACACCATGTCGATGATATTCACGAAGCCCTCCATGCGCACTCGCGTGAGCTTCGAGTCGGGCTTCTTCCTGCTGGGCGGCCACGCGCTCTACCTCGGCCCCGACACCATCCAGCTGGGCAAGCGTGAGGAGACGAGGGACATCAGCCGCGTGATCAGCGGGTACAATGATATCATCATGGCCCGGCTGTTTGCCCACCAGGTACGTCTGGCACACTCCTTGTTGGGTTTGAGGTGTCTCAAGAGCAATTCTTGATCACGAGGGACATCAGCCACCTGATTATTAGTGAATAAATGATATCGCCATGGCCCGCCTCTTTGCACGCCAGGTACGGTTGGCGCACTCCTCTTGGCTGGATGGTTCTGATCTGAAACGAATCAAAGCTCTTTGCACACCACCAGGGTACACGTCTGTTGAGGCGACTAAAAAAACACCATCCAGCTAGGGAAGCGCGAAGAAACGCGGGACTTTGGCCGCATGATAAGCGGGTACTGGGGCATCTTTACGTGGGGAACTGGCTGACGGGCTGACGGACTGCTGTGATTGTGTTCATCTTCGTTCTCCCCCAGTCCCTCCTCTCACTCCCCTCCCCAACCCTCTCGCTCCTCCTTGACTCCCGCTTATCCACCTTTCACCCCCTCAGGACAGGACATTCTCCATCTGGCCAAGCACTCAAGCATCCCTGTGGTGAATAGGCTTGACTTTTCTCGAGACGTATCAAACCTATCCTCCATTTCCCCCCTTCAATCTTTTTACCCCATCAGGACATCATCGATCTGGCCAAGTACTCGAGCATCCCCGTGGTGAACAGGCCTTTTGAGACTTGAAATAAATCAACCCCCATTCCCCCCCTCTCCCCGCCCCCCTTTGTATCCCCCTCAGGACATCATCGATCTGGCCAAGTACTCGAGCATCCCCGTGGTGAACGGGCTGACGGACTACAACCACCCGTGCCAGATCATGGCAGATGCCCTCACCATTATTGAGCACCTGGGGCAGATCGAAGGCATGAAGGTGAGTGCGATGGGATGGGGTAATCACTTGTGTGAGTCGATGGCATGAATGGCAAGATTGTGAGACGAGTGGTGAGCAGTGAGCACATGCGATGGACGTGGGAAAGGGTTCAGGTAGGCAATGATAAGGCTATTACAATACAACCACCCATGCCAGATCATGGCGGATGCCCTCACCATCATCGAACACCTGGGGCAGATCGAAGGCATGAAGGTGAGTGCGATGGGATGCATGGGCAACAGCAACAGCATTGTGCACAGCTGGTTGCGCCTGGCTGCAGTCATCCCCATGCACTTGGTCTGCTTCCTCTCGTCCCCTCTTCCACACCTGTTCCCCCATACAACTCTAACTCCATCCTCTTTCCAACCCCAACTCCCGTTCCACAGGTGGCCTATGTGGGTGATGGCAACAACATAGTGCACAGCTGGCTGCGCCTGGCAGCAGTCATCCCCATGCACTTCCTCTGCGTCTGCCCAGTGGGGTTCGAGCCCGATGCCGCCACCGTGGAGCGAGCGAGAGCAGCGGGGATCAGCACAATCGAGATCACGAATGATCCGGTGGAGGGGGTTAAGGGGAGTAATGTGGTGTACACGGATGTGTGGGCGAGCATGGGGTATAAGGAGGAGGCCGAGACACGGAAAAAGACTTTCCAGGGCTTCCAGGTGTGTTGGGGGAAGGGAGGGAACGCAGGGTAGGGTGTGTGTGCATGTGCGTGCTTGCGTGGTTTCTGACCAAATCTGTTCGATGGTTTCCCCCTCATCAAAACTCTTCTATCCCCTTGACCCGATGATTGTTGCCAGGTGGATGAAGCAATGATGGCGCGGGCCGGCAAGGACTGTCTGTTTATGCACTGCCTACCAGCGGAGAGGGGGGTGGAGGTGTCAGATGGGGTTATGGAGGCTCCTTACTCCATTGTTTTCCCCCAAGCTGAAAACCGCATGCATGCACAAAATGCTATCATGCTGCACTGCCTGGGGAAGTAGAAACTGCTCGCCCCTATTTTCGAAAGTCAGATATCCACCTAAGGTTAGTGTAGTAGAAATTAGAATCACTATTTAATTCCTGTAGGGAAACATTGCTGGAACAATTTTTCTTATGTTCAAATGGTGTATGAATTTTGCGGGATCTAGCCTGCCTAAAAACCTGTGAAAATGCCTTGCAGATTTGGAACCTGCTACTGAGAAAAACGAGTCCAACAATCTGCTCTGATAACAAATTCCTGATGCCGATACGGTAACAAAAATAGGATTCCTTACATATACACTCTTGTGTTTCTTATGGTACCTCGATAGTGTAATCCTCGTTTGTTCAATCATTACCGCCACACCCAGCATTCCATGGATCTTGTCCATGGTTCCTTCCACGTGTATTGCAGCTGGAGTTTCCCGCCAAATCTTGCGGACACGTCAGCCTGGGCGTCCCCTTCCCTCTCCTTCCTCTCCCATTTTCCCTCAGTCAGTCGACCCATCCCCCCACTCCAGCTTCATCCGCCTCGCCCGCGCGTCGCTCGACCCCCTTCACTGGTTTCAGCACACCTGTGGCAACACTGTCGCTCGCCCGCCTGCCCAAGCCTCTCCCATGCTTGCATGCAGGCGGCAGCCTTTCATTTTTTCATCAACCAGGCAAGAATTCAATTAAAACCGGGGTGCACATTCAGCTGAATGTGCATCAAAGGTTATCCCTTGACTGAGTGGGTTACGAGGTGTGCTTTCAACCCCTTCAAGTCGAAATTCGTTTCCCCCCTCCCCCGCAATTTCGTTTCCCCACGCCCCCGCAATTTCATTTCCCCCTCCCCGTCGAAATTCGTTTCCCCCCTCCCCCGCAATTTTGTTTCCCCCCTCCCCCGCAATTTCGTTTCCCCCCCCTCCCGCCAATCTGTTTCATCCCTCCCGCCATTCGGTTTCACCCACTCCCGCCATTTCACCCCCTCCCGCCACCTACGAAATGCCCGAAGCTCTAGCGGAATCATTTTTTTGTCGCCCCTCGTGAGCCAATCACTGTTTTTCTCCAAACCCCCTTCCCAACATCTCAAGCCGAACCGCGTTGAATGTGCACCCTGGTTTTAAGTTTCACACACCCAGCCCACACCCCCAACAACACCCTTTTGACCCCAACTCCCCTCTTCGCATCGCCGCACGGCGTAGCCTTTCCTACCTTCCCGCCTCGTCTGCTTTACGAACCGCCCGTCCCAATCAAATCATCGCGACCAAAGCATCGTCTCCGGATCTCTCTCCTTACCAATTTTCTCTCAAATCTCCTCTCTCGGCGGGCGGCGCGATGGTGCTCGGGCAGCTGCAGGCGAAGTACCAGGAGATCGAGGGGCGCGCCAAGGCGTGGGTCGCGCGCCAGCCGCCGCCCGTGGAGGTGGCGATCGTGGCGGCGGCGAGCGCGCTTCAAGGCGGCGCGATCGGCGCGATGATGGGCAGCCTGACGTCGGAGGCGGCCGGCAGCATGCCGTCGCCGGCCACCATGCCGGGAATGACGCCGGAGGCCGCGGCGTCCATGAAGCAAATGCAGGTGCGTCGCGAGCTCGGTCGAGTGTGGTCGGATATTGTTCTAGCGGCTCCGACGTGCAGGCGAGTCGCTAATTCACTCTTGGATATCGATATTGGATCGGTACGCCTACTGTTATAGGAGAAGCGACGCGATGGAGTTGGGCCTTGGGTCTGGGCCTTGAGAAGCCAGATCCGGATTTCGCGCAGAGTTGTGTTCGGCTTCAAGTGGCCAGAAGCATCGTGGCTTTTAGTCGACTCAGATGCGGCCTCTGAAGCTCGTAGCGCTATGCGCGCGTCACGTGGGGCAGTAGCACGGACTTTCATTGGCCTGCCGCTTTGACGCGACGGCTCGTCGTCAACAGTTTCGAGAGCGGTGCCTTGTTGCGCATCAGATTGCGGAGGACGGAGCCGCGTTGATGACAAACCCTTTTGACGTGTCGCCTCGTGGTTGGTCCGGATCCACCGTTTTGGATCCACCGGTTCGGATTCACCGGTTCGGATCCACCGGTTCGGATCCACTGGTTTTTGCAAATCTGAAATAAAACATCCACAAGAAAACTTTAACAAAGCCAGCGGACGTCGCACGTTTCAACGCTAGCGTCGCGCAACGATAATATCGCACATCAACAACGTCGCACAATCATGTCGCAGAGCATCGAATCCCGCGACGAGCACTGCAGCCCATCCAAAGCACAGCGGCGCTGCTGTCCGTCGTGCGGCCGCCGTCGATCTCGTCGCTAACCCCTGAACCTTCCCCGTCGCTAATCCCTGAACCTTCCTATCCAACGTCGTTCAGAGCTGCAGCTATCGCTGTTCAGCCCTTCACACTCCAATGACGATATCGCCTCCTCCTGTGGGTCGTTTGAATCGAGCAATCCCGCTGCCCAAACCGACCGTTTGGGTTCGTGCCGTAGTAGGCTGCGACAACTACCTTTCACACCCCCCGTGGCCGGGTGTGTTTGTGCCCCGTGACAGGCGATTGTATAGTCCACCAAAAATCGCCTCATCACACGTCGACCGTGCCACGTCACCACCCTTTTCTTCCATCCCTCGTGGCCTGCTGTGTGCAGGCCAGTTTTGAGTCGACTCGAGAATGCCACCCACCACCCTTTCCACCTTTTCCACCCCTCCGTCGTGCTCCGATCTGGTGTGTGCAGGCGCTGACAGGCTGCCCGTGGACGCCTTTTGAGGCGCCTCAAGAGTCGACCGGGCCTCCACCCTTTCCTTCCACCCCTTTCCACCCCTTTCCACACCTCTGTCGTGGCCTGGCTCTGGTGTGTGTGTACAGGCGCTGACAGGGGGCCCGTGGACGCAGGCGCGAAACTTCGCGGTGATGACGGGCGTGAACGCGGGCATCACGGCCGCCATGAAGCGCGCCCGAGGCGGCGTCGAGGACCTGCAGACGAGGTGCGTGGTGGGATGCGGTTGAGGTGGATAAGGGGGTAGGTGACAAGGTGGGAGGCGGTCGAGATGGGTGATGAGCAGAGGACCTGCAGACGAGGTGTGCGGTGGGATGCGGTTGAGGTGGATAAGGTGACGAGGTGAGAGGCGGGGTCGAGGTGCAAGGAGGTGAGGGGTGGGGGGCCAAGCAGCAGGCACGAGATCCGAATGAGGGTGACATGCGGCAGTGGGTGGGAGTGGCGAAAGGAAGGAAGGAGAAACACGTGGGAGCAAGGCAGCTGTTGACCTTCAAATGACCACGTGGTCCAAGGGTGACCACGTGGTCCAAGGGTGATTACGAACCGACTTGCTAGTTGCCTCCAAAGGGGCAGGACGTGGGAAGCCAAGAAACGAGAAAGACATTATTCCAGTGTACGTTTCAATCTCTAAAAGAGACCACCACTTCATCTGGTTCCAGAAGAAGCCACCAGTCTGAAATGCAATGCTGACTTCTTCTCCCCCCTTCTCAAAAACAACCTACAACGAAAACGATTCGACATTGGACTGATTCAAGTGCAACGAAACGGTCTCTTATGCACGTTTCTCTTTCCATAAGAGACCACCACTTCATCTGATTCCAGAAGAAGCCACCAGTCTGAAATGCAATGCTGACTTCTTCTCCCCCCTTCTCAAAAACAACCTACAACGAAAACGATTCGACATTGGACTGATTCAAGTGCAACGAAACGGTCTCTTATGCACGTTTCTCTTTCCATAAGAGACCACCACTTCATCTGGTTCCAGAAGAAGCCACCAGACTGCAATGCTGACTCCTTCTCCTCCCACCCGCCCTTCCTCCCTCGCTCCATTCGCCCCCACCCGTGTACGTAGTTGGTTACTGAGAATTCTCAAACACGCCAACTAGCCTTCGCCCTCACCTCTCATCCCCCTCCTCTCGTGCTCCTCCCCCCGCCTGCCCTGCTCGCAGCGCGGTAGCAGCGTTTGGGTCGGGAGTGGCGTTCTCGGTGGTGAGCGGGGTGGGCGGGCCGGCAGGCAACTCGGTGCTGAACGCGCTTTCCACCGGTGTTGGCTTCGCCATCTTCCAAGGCGCCTTCTTCCAGGTGCGCTCCCGCCATCTGTGTGTGTCTTTGTATTGGAGGGAGGCAGGCAGGCAGGCAGGCAGGGAGGCAAGGAGGCAGGGAGGCAGGGAGGGAATCTGCATGGGAAAATCGCCTTAGAACCCAGCTACATACGGCCAACACGCCTTGGCCCTCTCTTTCCAATTCTTCTTCCCCCTACAAGCCCTCCCCCCCAAAACCCTCTTCCTCCCAGGCAGCCACCTTCTCCACATGCCTTCCTCATCCCCACATGCCTTCCTCATCCCCACATGCCTTCCTCATCCCCACCTCCACCCAGCATCCCCACATGCCCCCATCATTCACGCACAGAGCTGGGCAATCGTTTTCAGGCGAGAGCACGACAACAAGCTGCTATGCACATACCCCACCTCCCCTCCCTTTTCCCTCCCCTTCTCTCCAATCCGCGTGCAGCTGGGCAATGCGGTCTCAAGGCGAGGGCGACGCAGCGCCATCAGAGTACCTGGAGTGGAAAGCCATGCTGCAGGAGCTGGGGCAGGCCTTGGTGTGGTGCTCTTACCTTCCTTCCCTCCCACCACCCATCCGCGCCCCCCTCCCCCCTCCACGCAGCTGGGCAAGGCGTTTCAAGGCGAGGGAGACGCGGTGCTGTCCGAGTACGTGGAGTCGAAGGCCATGCTGCAGGAGCTGGGGCTGGCCTTGGTGCGGTGCAGAGCAACAAGCCTCCCACTCCCCATCCACCCCTCCCTCCCTTCCCTGCAGCTGGGCAAGGCGTTTCAAGGCGAGGGCGATGCAGCACCATCAGAGTACCTGGAGTCGAAGGCCATGCTGCAGGAGCTGGGGCTGGGCAAGTACGAGAAGAACTTCAAAAAGGGACTCCTCACTGACCGCACACTGCCTCTGCTGAACGACAGGTGGGTGGGTGATGCTTTATGATACGTGCTGCAGGTGCGTGGGTCATGCTCAATGACAGGTGCGTGGGTCATGCTCAATGACAGGTGCGTGGGTCATGCTCAATGACAGGTGCTCAGATACAGGTATGAGGGTGATGCGGAATGACAAGTGCTGCAGGCCCTGGGGCTGGATAATAACGAGAAGAACTTGAAGAACAACTCAAATGCCACTATGAATTCCTGCCGCCCTCTCTGCGCTCCTCTCTGCGCTCCTCTCTGTGCTCCTCTCTGCGCTCCTCTCTGCGCTCCTCTCTGCGCTCCTCTCTGCGCTCCTCTATGTGCTCCTCATGAGACAGCGTCCGTTGACATGGTTGACATGGTTGACATGGTTGACATGGTTCGGTGCACTGCCCTGCAGGAGGTGACGGCCCCTCCCATCCTCAACATACCCTCAACTCATCAACACCCCACCTGCCTCTCTTTCCATGCCTCTCTTTCCGTGCCTCCCTTTCCATGCCTCTCTTTCCATGCCTCTCTTTCCCTGCCTCTCTTTCCCTGCGTCTCCTCCTGTTCGCCCCCTAACAGTGCACTGCAGGAGGTGAAGATCCCTCCCGGCCCTCGCTTGATCATCCTCAACCACATCGGGGAAATGAGGCATCTCAACGTGGGATCCTAATTCCTGTGATACCTCCTTCCCTGCCTCTCTTGCCCTGCTGCTCCTCCTGTTTGGCCTCTCCCAGTGCACTGCAGGAGGTGAAGATCCCTCCCGGCCCTCGCCTGATCATTCTCAACCACATTCAAAGGTACTGCGCCCTCCTTACAGTCACCCTCATAGGTACCACTCTGTAAGAGACAAGTTGTTTTTTTTAGAATTCCCGAATACCTATCTGAGGGTCCTAAGTAACCAACTAGGTTGATCATTCTCAACCACATTCAAAGGTACCGCGCTCCGCCTGTTTTCTTTAAAGTCACATTTAAAGGTTCTGTACATTATGATCCACCTAGTCACATCTCAGGTAATGTTCTCTGCACCTGTTTTAGTCACGTTCGAGGGTACTGTGCTCCGCCTGTCTATCGTCACATTCAAAGCTAGGTGCTCTGCCCTCCTTATAGTCACACCTCTGCCCTCCGTATAGTCATGAAGACACTGTTTTGCCCTCATTGTCAGAACCGGATGGTCGGAGTTACAGCCGGAACGGCCCTGTGGTGGTGAAGTGCTGCTATGGCCATTCGGTCTTGCTTGCGTACCTGCGTTTACTCCTTTCTTTCTTTCCAATTTTAACACCCCTGTTTGGACCCTCTTCGGCTGCTGTGTCCCTCTCAATGCCCAATGCCCATTGTGCATCCCCCACTGTCTGACACCCATTGCTGGTTGGTGTGCAGAGCGCAAAGGTGCTACGGGCAAGCACCCTCCACTGCCAAGCCCAGCAGCAGCAGTGGAGCCATCGGCATAGGCCACCTGGGGGGTCACTTTTGAGACGTCTAATGAAACTGTCCATTCCCCACTGTCTGACATGCATTGCTGGTTGGTGTGCAGAGCGCAAAAGTGCTACGGACAAGCACCTTCGAGTGCCAAGCCGAGCAGCAGCAGTGGGGCCATGGGCATAGGCCACCTGGGGGGTCACCTGTGTGTCTAATGCCCAATGCCCAATGCCCAATCCCTAATCCCCACTGTCTGTCATCCATTGCTGCTGTGCAGAGCGCAAAGGTGCTACGGGCAATCACCCTCGAGTGCCAAGCCCAGCAGCAGCAGCGGGGCCATCGGCATAGGCCACCTGGGGGGTCACCTGGGGGACAGCAGCAGCAGCAGCAGCAGTGGTGGTGAAAGCGGAGCAATGGTGGCGTCATTCTAAACTAATGTACACCTTTTTTCTGTATACCGTTTAGAGTGTAAACATCTTGCAAAAACGAAGGGCCTTCAAATAAAAATATATAGGTAGTAGCAATGCATAGAAACGGGTACACCATCTATGGTAACTGCCAGCCTTGCCAACAGCAGAGCTCTCTTAACGTAACTCCCAGCATATGGGACCCACCGGAATAAGAACCCGTGGGGACTCTATTGCAGAAAAGGGTCCATTATAGTAGTGTGCATGCATCTGTGAGGATTCCCTTTTGGCATGAACATTTTGTAGGTTGGTAAATAACAAAAAAACAGTGCGGTTATAATGTTCACCCTCGCATTTTTCTAGGGATCTGAAGAAAGTCCCTCGGGTCGGGTCCTATGTGTGCCGGAAACTACGGTATGAGAGCGTGTTCCTACTGTTGGGCTGAGAAAAAGCCCTTAGGACCTTTGCAGGACTAAATTCTGAGTAGGACAACGTAATAGCGGAAGCGTTAAATGAGAACTTTGTGAACCACCTTGCGCTAGTATGTGAGGGCAAAGTAGATTGATTAAAACAAAGGGATACAAGCTTTTATAAGAATACAAGGAATACGAAGAGATACAGTTAATAACCGTTTTGCTGTTGCTGTTGCGGTTCGATACAGTGACGACTCGGGCAACTGCTCAATAGCGAGTCAGTTGTTTGTCCTTGCCGTCGCGCTGTATTTGTCAGGTCAAAGGTCGCTGACCTTTGACTTTTGCATAACCTCCAGCAGTTGTTCAACCTTCGAGGGTTGACTCGCTAATGCTTCGATATGTTTCGCTTCGCTTCTGACTTGGTGTTTCGACACGACAGAGGCGCTAAATCAATTGTTTCCAACACTCCCCTTCGCTTCTGGAGTGTCGCTGCTGGTGACGTGGCTTTGTCCAGTCAGCAGCATGCAGTACTCGAACTTCTGCTTCCCGAGCTTCTTGGTCAAGTAATCAGCTGCCATCTCGGACGTGGGACAGTAAGACAGCTCAAGTCTTCCCTTCTCGATCTCGTCCTTTACGAAGAAATATCGTAGGGCGATATGCTTCGTCCTATTTGCGAATCCGTTTTTGTTGGCTATGCGAATTGCCGACTGGTTGTCGCAGAACAAGGAGAAGCTGGGTAATTGAGCCAGCTTCGCCTCCTCCAGAAGTTCGCGAAGGTACAGTCCTTCCTTGGTGGCTGAGCAGAGTGCGATATATTCAGCTTCAGCTGAAGAGAGAGCGATTAATTCCTGCTTGCTCGACTGCCAGGAGATAGGTCCGATAGGCTCGAGGCGATAGATGTAGCCGGTGCGTGAGCGTCTGTTGTCGGAGTCGCCGGCGTGATCTGCGTCGACGTAGCCGATTAGTTTAGGTGTCGTAGTCCCGTTCTTGTGGTAGGTTAGACCGACGGTTGAAGTGCTGACGAGGTAGTGGAGAGCACGGTCGAGTTCCGCCATGTGTTCTGCTTCAGGTTTCTTGAGGTAGGTCGCGAGCTGACTTGCGGAGTACGATAGGTCCGGAAGGCAAGTGACAGCTGCGAAGAGGAGGCATCCCAGCTTTCTCTGGTAGTCGCGTATGCCGGCGGGTTTTAGTGGAGCGGATCCTTCCTTGTTATTTCCTGCCGTGTAGCGATATGGCGTAGAGATGGTGGTCGGCGTGAGTGCGAAGCGTTTGGCGATGGTGTCGGCGTATTTTGCGGCGTTGAGGTAGATCGCGTCTTCTTCTTCCTGGATGTTGAGGCCGAGATACTGCGTGACAGTGGACGAGACTGTGAGCGTGAGATCCTTCTGTAGTTCCCCTTCGAACCAGGTGGTGACATTGTTGGTCGAGCCGATGTAGAGTAAATCGTCCACGTAGACGATCAGTAGAATGTAGTCGGTGCCCTTTGTGAGCCGATACATGCCCTGGTCGTGAGGTAGTTGGCGGAATCCAATGCGAATAAGTCTTGCGTGCAGATACTGCTGCCACAGCCTTGGAGCTTGTTTGATGCCGTACAGGGATTTTTGCAGCTGACAGACTTGATTAGGTTCTCCGTGGGAGCCGTGTGGGAGTTCGACGAAGATTTTGGCGTCAACAGGTGCGTAGAGGAATGCGTTGGCGACGTCGATTTGCCGCAGTTTCTTTTTCTTCATGGCGGCGATCGCGAGGAGAATTCGTAGTGAGGTGTGTCCGCTGACCGGGGCGAATGTCTCGGTGAAGTCGCGTCCGTGCTCTTGGTCGAAGCCGCGTACGACCCAGCGCACCTTAAACTTGTCGATGGTGCCGTCTGCTTTTGTTTTCACACGGAAGACCCACTTCCCGGTGAGTACTGTCTTGTTTCGTGCCACGCCGATAGGGACGACTTTCCAGGTGTTGCGTTCCTCCAGTGCTTTGTCGCGCAATTCGCGACAACGGCTGATATACGCCATCCCTTTTTCGCCCGGTTTCATTTCCACTATTGTCAGTTGTGCCATTAACCGACTCTGATTGACGCTGTCTGTTGCCTGATACAGGTTCTTGAGGTGGTTGTACGCAAGCTCAGCGGAGTTTCCGTATCCTCGGTAAGACTGAATGTTCTGCTGCTGGTTCGGTGTGACGTTGCGCAGTAGGATTGTATACGCCATCATAGATTGATACGTATACTGCTGTTTGTCGTATTGCATGCCGTTTGTTGGATATGGCAGGGACCCATCGAAGAAGCCAAGAATCTGCGCGCCTTCCATCATCAGTTCGAATTCGAATGACCAGGTAAAGAAGTCCTTTCGGTCGAATGGTCTTGACGTCTGCAGTTTTAAAACGTGCGCAAACTGCGACTGAACTTGAAGTGTATCTAGTGTCTTCTCTTGCTCAGGTGAAGGCTGCTGGCGCGGCATGAAGCTGACGGAGCCGCGCTGAGGTTCGTACGGGGCGAAGGTAGGTTGTTGCTGATTTCCTCGTGCGTAGGATGAACCGTCGAGGCTCATCGGTGTTGCGTTGTTGTTGTTGCTGTTGTTTGACTGTGCAGGTGCCCCTTGCTGGTGTTGTTCGTAGAAGGACATGAAGGAGAAGAATTTCTCCATCATGCCTGGGTCGAAGGCGGCGGCTTGATTTGCGGGAGTTTCTGAAGACGTTGCCCTTGGTCTTGTTGCCGTACCCTCCTCTGTCTGTAGGCCAGAGGCAGGAGGTGGAGTAGGAGTAGTACCGGGAGAGCCGTTAGAGGAGCTTCTCTCTTTCTGTGTTGCCATGCCTTGTGATGTTGTGGGTGTCTTGATTGTAGTTGAATTTGTCCTGATAGCTCTCATACCATGTTGGGCTGAGAAAAAGCCCTTAGGATCTTTGCAGGACTAAATTCTGAGTAGGACAACGTAATAGCGGAAGCGTTAAATGAGAACTTTTTGAACCACCTTGCGCTAGTATGTGAGGGCAAAGTAGATTGATTAAAACAAAGGGATACAAGCTTTCATAAGAATACAAGGAATACGAAGAGATACAGTTAATAACCGTTTTGCTGTTACTGTTGTGGTTCGATACAGTGACGACTCGGGCAACTGCTCAATAGCGAGTCAGTTGTTTGTCCTTGCTGTCGCGCTGTATTTGTCAGGTCAAAGGTCGCTGACCTTTGAGTTTCGCATAACCTCCAGCAGTTGTTCAACCTCCGAAGGTTGACTCGCTAATGCTTCGATATGTTTCGCTTCGCTTCTGACTTGGTGTTTCGACACGACAGAGGCGCTAAATCAATCGTTTCCAACACCTACGGGCCCCTATCAGGCCAACCTGTTATGACATTGTGAAAACCGCATTGTACACGTTGTAAACAACCTCTTGTCAGGAAACGAACCAAGACGCGTACGAATGAGAAGTCTCGTAATCAATCGCCAGACCGTGCTGACTCACCTGATCACAGATTGAGAAGTCGCCACAACGGCTGTTCGTGCAAGACTGCCGATACCATAAACAGCTCACGGTGGTGACCTGGCCTTGCTTTTACACAGTCACGTGCCAATTTAGCACGAACGATGAACCATAGTGTTTGGGCGCCACGCGGCAACACGGTTTGATTTCTCGACCGACCACCATTCGGGAGGGATCACGTTCACAACATTCCCGCGCAAACAAGAGCACAGCTAGACCAACTCGAGCTCTGGAGCGTTCATATTGTGTGAGCATTACATATCCGAGTATGCTCATCTAGAATCCACGCAGTTACCGATTATGCACACTCCATAGCTCGCAAACGCAAGGGAAATGGGCAGGCAACAGAAACCAGCGACTTGTGCCCGGAGGACCTCGCGTACGTTGCCTGGATGAACGCAGAAATAGCTGCAGGAAGACCATCGACAAAGCCTCTACGCAACGTGCAGTCTCACGCTAGAGCGGCCGCGCAGTCACATGCCACGTCGCGCCCCAATCGCGTGTTAAGAAACTGAACGAGAATGGTTGAATTGAGATAGAACTGAGTACAAGTACTAACCCTAATTGGGTTGTACCCCTTATGGGCTACCTACCCCACTACAGCCTACACAATATAAGCATTACAACACTTTGACACACCCCCATAGGCAAAGTGGGGGAGAACAAGTGGTCACCAGACCAGTCAAGAAAAGCAAAGCAAGCTCAGGGTGGATCACGAAGTCACCATACAGTCCGAGCACAAGC